TATGATGAAGAATTTGCAAACTTATTTCTTAACAGTAGAATGATAAAGATATTTAGTTTCTGTTTTAAAATTAAGCTCGTGAATAAGTTATATTTAATTTTGTAAGGCATTTTAAGTAAATTGTGTTCAATCAGTATGCAATTAAAATAATGAACACTAAATAACTATTTAAAATTCTAATGCACAGGATCTAAGTTTTAGCATTAACACTCTTCAGAAACATTGTATAATCTCTTGAGTGGAAAGTATTTAAAAAACTTAAAAGGGGAAAAAAATAAAAAAAACAAGCTGGTGAGAATAAAATGGAATATTAAATCTTTGTAAGTGCAATAAGAAAATTTTGGGATGATTTAACTGAATTCTTTTAAATTTTAAAGTAATAATCGGTTTATTATTAACTCCTCTCCAAAGTTTGGGAGAGGTGTTCGTGAAAGAAGTGAGCACAGGTCGGAGCTCAATATTAAAAGGCAGGGAATTATATTTTCTTAAATAAATTTCTTTTACAATAGGATGGACTTAAAATTTCATTCCATATGTATTAAATTGTAAGGCAACAGCTTATTTTTTTATTTTGCTTTATAACCGATGTTTAATATCCATCCCAATTCTGAGTTTAGAACTATCTATGTTCAACTGCGTAATCTTATAATTAAAAAATTAATCCAGAAGACAATATGACCCCTGGATTAAGAATTTCGACAAAGTAACTTTTGTAGAGGACTTTTTGAGGTAACTATCCCCCGTTTGCGTTACAGGAGAGGAAAAATATGGAAACATCCCACGGTTTGCCTGAGAGGCAAGGAGATTTTGACCCATGACCATCTACCACTCTGGATATATAACTGTGGTCGGCGTGAGCCGGGGGGAGGATACGAATCGTATAGTATATTGGATCGAACCTGATTCACCTCATTGAGAGGTGAGAGCTATATTCCCTGAGCCACCGCGGCTCATCGTTTATTATTTTTTTTTGTAACTTCTCATTGCTGTGCATAAAAAAATTACTTCCTTTTCGTAGTTTTTCATAATTATATATTTTCATATCTGAATAGTTACCGCACCCTTGCGCATGCGCAACAAAATCAGGAATGGTGTAAGAAGCAAAATGTAATAAGCTGTTAATTTTGCAGTGCGCCATGCTTACGCCCTATAGAATTACGAAAAGTGCACATCTTAGCATTTCACTCCATCGCAAAGTAGTTATTCAAGTTAAATATATAAGTTGTTATATGTAAGTAGCCGAGTAGTTACACGTAAGTTGAAATACAAATTGATATATAAGTTGATATATAAGTTTATATATAAGTTGATATATAAGTTTATATATAAGTTGATATGTAAGTTTATATATAAGTTGATATATATGTTGATATATAAGTTGATATATATGTTGATATATAAGTTTATAGATAAGTTGATACATCATTCAGTGTTGAATTGTCTACATATTTATTTTATTTATTGTTACACAGGGTATTTGATGAATGTTTCTTATTATTTTCAAAATAATAACAAAACGCATCTTTTTCCTTTTTAATAGAATAAAATATAATTTGTATAAAAATATTTGCTTATTTTTTTCTATTTTAACTTGTTAGGTTTTAATTTGTCATCGTTTAAGTTAATTTAGTTTTTTTATTTGTTTGATTACTAAATGAAACCATCTTACAAATTACAAATCAATTTGTATGATTTTTCTGTACCAGTGCTCTTTCTCAACCACAAAACTGACTTTTTTATACTTATATCTAACATCAGGTAACTTGTCGAGTTAAAGGAAAAATTAGAACATAGCTGTTTCACGATATTAACTTTAATTAAAAAATGGAAAACATAAAATTTACAGTTAACTACTATAAAAATAGGTTAGTTTTTTGATTTGATACATACTCAATGGAAACACTCAGTAAAAATTTATGTAATTTTTAAAAAAAAGTGCTTTACCAAAGAATCATTCGATTGAGCATAAAATAAACTCAACAAATCCGTAAAATCAACAAAATGTGCACCATATGAATAAAAGAAGCATGCATTTTTTCAAAATTGTAAACTATTAGAATAATTTGTTTATTTTTATTCAGTTTGAATTTCATTTATTTGGTATCATGAATATTAATCCCAATGAAATAAAACGTTGCTTTGAATGATTGAAGTTGAATTAAGTTTTTATTCAAGACTTAATCTTGCAAGAAAATAAACTTTTCTAGAAAATTCCTTACCTAAATTGAATTGAGTAAAATATAATCAATGTAATGTTTCTAAATATAGCATACATATACATATTAAAAAATTTAATTTTATATTTAGTAGTATATTAAGAAGAATGAGCAAATGGAATTAAAAAAGACTTTTTATATAAGGAAAATGTATAATAAATTAATGTAAAAGTTAATAATGCACATTGACATAGTAACTGTTATATTCTTCCTTATGAAACGAAGATTCGTAATGTGTTCTTAGGTACTCAATATTTAGTTAATGTTTAAAATGTGTGAAATTAAAAATTATATATTAAAGGCAACCTTTGCAACATAATTGATTGTCTGTTAAGCTGTGACATGGATAAAAATTTTAGGTCCTGAAACTTTCAAAAAGATTCAAAATGCATCAGAACGTTAATACTCAGACTCAAAAGCGTATGAAAAATTTCTTAAAATTGTAAAAATGGATTTCTTAAAATTGAATAATAATGTGTCAAAATAGCTCCGAAATAAAAATAATAGAATTTTTCACTATATTCATATAGTTAATTTACTCATATAGTCATTATACTCATTATTGAGTTTAGTGACATGCTCAAATATGATGTTTGAATGTATAAGCTGTTTCACACTTACATACTATTTCGAGTTTTAGTTTGTTACTATGCTCAATAATGAGTTCACGGGGCTCTTAAATTCTGCTTTATTTATTTTTGAGCTATTTCGACGCAATTTTGCTCAATTTTGAGGAACTCCTAAGGCTTTCAGAGTATTATGTATCCAATACGTCATGTTTTGGGGGATTTAAAATATTTTTTTAACCTAAACTAGTCTTTTTTTTTCTTTGCGAAATATAAATTTAAATATTTTAAGAATTAATTCTTATTCAATGCTTGTATTTCTAGTTTGAAAAGGCTATCGAGTGCTTTATTTCTAGCGTTAAATATAAATCGACAATTTATTTTTCCAAACAAAAATGTGAATAGGAAATCAAAAATTTCTTACTGTAAATCACTATTTTCAATTTTTAAACTAAATAAATAGTCTGAACTACTTTGCAATTTTTTTAAAAATTTGTTTATTTTTTTACCTTTAAACTAAAATATTAGTCATATAAAAAATTAATTGATTAGCACCGACATATAATTATGCCTGGTAAGTAACATCTAAAAGTAACTCAATGTTTAGTACATATGATAAAAATAGACTTACTTATCAGAAAATGGTAACAGTTATGGTAACACTATTACATTGTTGCTTACATAAATGAAAAAATAATCTGGTAATATAAAACATTGCATGATAATGACATTTCTGGTAAAAAGGACCATAATTCTGGTAATAAAAACTTAAATATACGGTTTTTAAACCTTTCATTTCGTAAATGTTTCGTTCATTCGTTAACGGTTTACCGGAAATTCTGGTTTTCAAAAATATTTTTCTTATTACTACACATTTAGCAAAAAATACAAAACAAAAGTAAATATAACAGAGCAAATGGTTTTTGCACCTTTTGCAAAAGCCATTTGCTCGGCTTTTTGTAAAATTACCAAATTTTACCACATTATACAAAATTTATCATATATTATAAAACCATGTTTTACTGTTAGTTTTACCAAAATAATTATGAAAGCTTTTCGGTAAAAATTACAGAACTCTTTGATGTCCCCATAGAGAGAGAGAAACATGATAATCTTTAAAATATTCTGGTAGTTTCTACCATTCTTTTTTTCTCAGTGTAATAAGAAAAGTTAACGCTTTCTTCAATAGTAAGGACACAAGTAAGGACTTCATTATCGTCAAAAACGTATAGCCTAACATTTAATATCTTCAGTTGTGAAATATTTCACAAATTTATAATTATCATTTTAATTTTCAGCATAAATAAATAAATGCTCAAAATTAAGAAATTGTCTTAGTTTTTTTCAGACTCTTTGAGAAATGTTTCGAATGAACATTTCGTCAAATTCGGTTTCAAAAATTAATTTCATTTTGAATTCAGGATAATATAATTCTTTTTTTCTCGAACAAGTCATTTTATTTGCAGATTCCAAAAACAAGTTCTTAGGCAAGAAAATAGAAATAGAATCCCACTAAAAATTTATAATTATTACATCAATTTTCAGCATAAATAAATACATATTCAATTTATGAAATTGTCTTAATAATTGGTGAACAGTCTCTTTGTGAAATGTACCGATAGAACATTTTGTAAAATTCGATTTCAAAAAATAATTTCGTTTTGAACTCAGGATAACATAATTTTTATCTCCAACAAAGCTTTCTTTAATTCTCGAACTAGGCATTTCACTTGCAAATTCGAAACCAAAGTTCTTAAAAGTTCTTAAGTAAGAAAATAAAAATAGAATCTCTCCAAAAAAAAAATCAAAGAAGTCTTTTTGCATAAATTACCACCCCGACAGTTTAGAATAGTTCGTGATTTGACAAGTGCTTTACAGTCAAAAATAAAATAAAAGAATCTAAAGAAGTATGCAAAGCATGTTTCTCTATTTACGACGAATTTCAAAAAAAGGTAAAAAAAAAAATACCATTCTCATTCAAAAGAATTAACTCCAATGGCTCATTTTTGTAAGTTTCTATAATTATTGTTAAAACTAAAAGACTTACCCAGACATGTTAATTGCTTATGAGTATTAATTTACTTATTTTATTTTCAACCATTCGTGCATTAAATTGAGTTTATGAACGATTATGAAAATTAATTAAATAAAGCATTCCTTAAATATTTTAGTAAAAATATAATGACATAAAACATAAAAGATATTTGCGTAGACTCACCATTATATGTAAGTCTCCTTCACTTAGAGTGCTGTGATTAATGATTTCACAATTTGTTGTTTACACCTGAAAAAAGTAATTAAATGTAAGAATTCTGAAAAAACAGTTAAATGACTTAATGGTTTATGTGCACTTCAAAAAGAAGTTTTAAGCTATTTCACGCTAAGTTTATATTAATAGTCTTTATTCATTGAAATGTATATCAATACAACATTAGTTAAAAAGCTTTTGTTTTAGAGAAAATTTGTAAAGGCATTTTTATAAAGACTTTTTTTCTTTTGTAACCTATTAAATTTACTGTTTTCTAAAAACGCAATGCTTGCTTGAGGATTTAATCAACTAATAATATTTATTGTATTGACTTATGAGTTTCATAGAATTACTTAAATCCCAATATTTTGTTATACACATTTTTATAAATTAGTAATTTGAGATAATTAGTAATATGATATACTCGTATAATTAAAAAGAATTCATGATAACGGCATAATGGTTCAAAAGCTTAGAGATGTAGTAGATTTTGAAAAAGAAAATGATAGTAAAAATTAATTTTTCACTTGTAGAACCTCTCATTAGATACACTGTTAAAAATTTCTCAGAAAAATGGTTAAATAACAATTTATTTAATTATTATTTAATCATGTTTAAACAAGACAGTCATTTGACCATATGTATGGTACTTTAACTGTTGATTCTGAGAAAACCGTAAAACCTGTGAGAAAACTACTACGGTTAAACAACCAGAATTTGATGGCACCAACTAGGTCCACCTAATAAAGCCACTTAGCTCATTACAGCTGGGTATATATTATAGCCGAAAGAGCTAGTCTGTCAGTCTCATGACCAATAGAATGGGAGTTCGAGTTCCAGGGTTGACACCACAGTATTTCCTCATCAACACATGAAGGAATGGAAACTCTTCAACGCATGGAAGTTTCCAGTGCCCTGCACTCCTCAATTATCAAATAACCAAATCACGAAAAGCCTAGCTAAATTTAAATGTCTTTTTTTACGGCTTTGAAACCATACTAGTTGTAAATGGTTGAAACCATATAGTTTTATATTCATGGTTATTTAACCATGCTAGTTGTGAACGGTTACAAAACAGTAAAGGTAAAAAGTGATTTTTGCCGTAAACTTCACGGTTAATTTGGTGGACAGACTACCTGTTACTTTACCGTTATTTTAGAATGAAAATTCTATCAGTGTAGGGTGAATATAAACCATAATTAAAAAACAATCATGTAACAATGATGTATTTGTGACTTAAAGAAACAAATTCTTGAATGTCAAATAATTGTCTTTAAGCATCAAACATGCATTTTCAATTTTAGTATTTATTGAAAATAGAAGCATTTAGCACGCATAATTTTTCCCTAAGCATTTAAATAAATTTTTTTAATATTGTAATTATATATGGACAGATACAGGATGTAATATGATGCAGGATATAACATAGGATGTGCTGATAACAAATGTGTTAAAAAGAACTCCATTTAATACAACATAAATGGTATATGCTAGGCTACAATGTTTCAACTTTACATAAAAGCAATTTTAGTGTTCCCATAGAACCAGAAACGCGGTAAATTTTACCATATTCTGATAGTTCTGACCATACTTTTTTCTCTCAGCACAGATTGAGAATCACTGATTTAAGCAACAATTTAAGACAAAATAGGTTAACAGAGTAAAGATACAACAAAATAACTTGTTTTCAGCAAATGCAAGAAGATAATATCTTCGACTTATATTTAACAAAAACGAAATTATCCACATCCTTTGCTGTGTCAGTTCGTTTTTAACATTTTAAAAAGAAACCCAGTATAAGTTTATGAAGAAGAACACATTTTATTTTTCGCATTGCCATAAAGTCGCAGTATCGCATAAAAGCGACACATTATGTTGTCTACAACACCAGAAATGCTTTTTGAAAATATATTTTCTGTTGAGGTCTATAATTCCAAACCATTTCCTATCTTTGACGAAAAAAGCTCTCTAGCTTTCACATTTTATCTCCTTTTTTATGAAGCATTTCGACTACTAAAGAAGAAATGACATGAAAAAACATCGTTTCTGGAACATATGACATTATCGTGAAAACCCCGTTTCAATTAAGCTCGTTAACGGGCTGGAGGGAAACGGAACTAAGATCGAATGTCATGCCAACGGACGCATCGTTTTTCGGAAACTATGACAAAAACAGCCACATCGTCAGAACAATTTTCATTTTTGTACTAACTTTGAATGATGCCGTAAAAGAACTTGGGGCTTTAACAGAAGCTTTAGAAATGTATTTATTTCATTTGGATGAAAAAATAAATGTGTTGAAATAATTTAATCAAATTTTTCTATCTTTTCATGCATAATTTATTGCTACGAGTTTTTTTAAATGAATGTGAAAAAAATATTAGTAATAAAATTTGTTTGTAGTGGAAGTAAAAATTCTGGTTTTATGACTGAAAAAGTAGTTAATTCATTTTATGCAAATTAATTTTTAACAATATGATTGCAAATATAATTTTATTTTATTATGTTATATTTATATATTATATTTATTGTATCTGAAATGATTTTAAAAAAAGTAATAATAATTAAAATTGTTTTTAGTAGAAGTAAAAAATTGTGGTTATGAAGAAAAAATTATTATAATTAATTTACTTTATGCAAGTTCAGTTTTAACAATATGAATATAAATGTAATTTTATTTTACTATGTTAGATTTTTATATTATATTTATGTGGTGTCACAAAATGTAACAGTTGGGCGAATTGCATCATCTACTTCCTCGTTGAAAGGAGCCAGCCAGTCCAGAAAGGAAAGCCCCGGTATCCGCGGTGCCATAGAGTTCAGAGGGGGAAAGTCCCGAATAAATTAATAACTCTTACTCTTTTCCATAAAACAATCTGATTTAGCATTCTTTTCTTGATCCAGCAACACTGCGTGTAGGCAGCTCTCAGCGGTCATGATATCGCTGTTAAACTTATTTCCTTTTTTTTAAATTAAATGTTAAGTTTCATTATTAAACTATTGTATTTCTTTCCTCCCTTGCTTCACAAACTCCGACATTTATTTATTCAAATAATTTGAAGTAATTGCATTGAAATATTTATTTTTAAATTTTATATATAATTAATGAAATATTTATATTTAATTTGTATTTGAAATAATTGCGAAAAAAATTATAAGAATAAAATTGTTTTTAGTAGAATTAAAAAAACTGTAGTTTTATGAAATAAAATTATATATAACTAATTTATCTAATGCAAGTTAATTTTAAACAATATAAATATAAATGCAACGTTATTTTATTACAATATGTTTATATATTATATTTTCTATGTGAAAAAGTAATTATGTTTAAATTTGTTTTAGCAGATGTAAAAGTTTGGTTTTATGACCTAAAAATTAAATAATTTATTTTATTCAAGTTAATTTTTAACAATATGAATGCATTTATATATTTTCATTTTTAATGTTATATTTATATATTATATATTATATTTATTATATTTGAAATGATTGTGAAAAAATAATAACAATAGAATTTGTTTCTTATAGAATTAAAAATGTGGTTTTATACTCAAACACTAATTATAAACACTTTATTTTATGCAGTTGAAATTTTATTAATATGAATATAAATATGTCTCTATTTTATTACATTTTATTAATGTATAATATTTATTGTACTTTGATTGTGAAAAAGATAATTATACAATTTGTTTTTAGAAGGTAAAATTTTGCTTTTATGACAGGAAAATTAGTTATAACAAATCTATTTTATCGATGTTAATTTGTATAAATGTTAATTTGTATTATGTAATGTTAATTTGTGTTATATTGTATATAAAAAAGCTTAATTTTATGCTTCTTTTGCGAAAAAAATTTTCTTTTTTTTTTGAAATCGACAAATTGTTTTTATGAAATTGCACATATTTATATTTCTAGAATTTTTTTCATTTTAGAACAAAAAGTTATCCCATTTTTAAAATAACTACAAAAAAGTTGAGAGACTAATTTTCTTTTGATAAGATAGTTTTGTTGTGCAAACGAAATTTAATTTATAGTAAAAGGAATCCGAACTCATATGAAAAGTAACTTGCGATTTTGTTAAATATTTCAGGAGATTTTCTAATATACGGTTAAGATACGCAAAATGTTTGACCTGTTTTGATTTTATGAAGATGTTTCTAAATTTTGCGTTTTTTGTATAAAATATATCAATAATGATGGTAAACTATTTGCTTATATTATAAATAATTATAATTTAGGAAGCAAAAAGCAAAAATTATATCAAAATAGGATGAATCACGATTAAAGAAGGTGGGTTTAAAACTTTAAAAAACAGTTTGCATGGCGAATGATGCACGAAAGTATCTCTTTCATGTATCATTCGCCAATCAAACATCATATCATTCGTCAATAATGTTTTTTCTCTTTCTTCACTTAATAGATTTTGATGCTTTTGATCAGGCCTTCCTTTCCCATGATTAAGTTAGGTTATTATTTCTTTAATATTAATAATAATTTGCAACACGTAAATGCAGTTTTTTTATTTTCATTTTTGACAAGGATCGTAACATATATATATTATATATATATAATATAGTATCCCTTTATCTCTTTCTATATATATATGAAANCCCCTTAAAGGGAGTAAATAGGGTACATACACTATCTGGCCATTAATGACCGGACACCTCTCACTTCAGATACATGAGGTGCTAGTATCAAGTCAGTAGGGCGTAGGGTCTCCACGCGCCCGAATCACAGCTTTAACCCTTCTAGGAAGGCTGTCCACTAGGTGTTGGTACTCGGAGGCAGGTATTGCCCGCCATTCCTCCTGTAACATGGCGAAGAGTTAAGTGCTGGTTTGGGGGCGTTGTAGTCTGGCCCTCAACCGGCGCTCGAACTCATCCCAGAGATGCTCAATTGGATTGATGTCTGGTTTTTGGGATGGCCAGTCAAGCTCTTGCACCCCCATTTCGTCAAACCAGTCCGTGATGGCATGTGCTTTATGAATGGCAGCGTTATCGTGTTGAAACATAAACGGGCCATTACCG